TCGGCCCAAAATACAATACAATACAACAAACATGAAATTGCCATGAAAATACAATGTTTGTTATTATAAAAGGTTATATGTAATGTCTGGAGCAATTTGTTATATAACAAACAGCTGTTGTGAAGTGGTTCTTTCTTTGGTCATGATAAAAAATAATTAGTTGATAATGTAAATGAATATGCATAAATCATGTATATAAGTTATATAACAGTCACGATCTTGTCCTGTAAAATCGCGTGGTATTTGATAACCAAATATCTTCCACAGACTGATTTGAAACAATCTGATTAAAATCAACACGCACTACGGTCTGGCGAATTGGTGGTCACTTTCTTGTGACCTTTCAAACAGCAAATCATCGGCGAGCTTTCACAATTTTGAAAGCGATGCAGTTTTTAATATACAAATATGGCGGTGTCCATATATAGCCGGAAGGTAAAGTGGCATTACAATCTTGTCCATTAAAAATTGAGTCTATAGTTTGTTTACAATGTATTTCAAATTACTTCAACCATATTTTTCTAACAAAAGTCAACAATTTATTTACTTTCACGGACGATATTTTGATACTTCGACTAAGGACGGTTTGATTGCATGGCTACAATAGCTTTCCCGGGAAATCCGAATCACAAAGTGAAACAAAATTGGTGGCAATCATATATTCATGCAAGAAATAACTTTAGTCAGATTGTGACTGAACAAAACCAAAACCTTTAATTTCTACAAGTCGTTATAAGTTACGATCTATATGCACTCGTGTAATGATATTGAATGACTAAACACTTTTTAAACCCCCCCCCCCCCGAAAAAAAAAACAAACTGAAAATTACATTAAATAAGTGATTGCAATTTGAAACAGGTAATCTGGCAAAACAATCTTGTCCATTAATATTAAGTTTATTTGTTTCAAATTACTTCAACATATTTAACAAAAAAATGTTTTACTTCCACGGACAACGATACTTTGATGCTTCTTCTAATGCCTCTCTGTTAATTTCTACAAGACGTTATAAGTTAAATTCATGCGCCTTGCAACTCCATATGCACTCGTATCTTATAATAACAATGAAAGACAAAACATATTTACATTCCAAAAAATGTACATTACTAGTAAATATTCGAAAAGTAATTGCAATTTGTAACAGAAAAATATACCAACCGCTTTTTTTCACTTTCGAAAAAATGAAAACTTTAAACCTCAATGTATATATGTCTATGCCCTATTGCAACATTATTTTTTAGCGTCAGAAAGTATATAGCGAGAATGACTTAGTTTGTACTAGTTTAACACACGCTATCTGAATTTCATCAAATACAAATTGTGACAGTGAATAAAAATCAATTTAATTTGAATTAAACAGTCTGTTAACATTAGTTTTTTTTAAAGATTATTTGTCTTTATATGATACAATTTGAAAAGCCTAGATCAGGCACTTTCAGAATGAATTCTTATTGAAAATCCATGTCTAAATTAAGTTATTGTGCACATCTCCATATACATTGTATGCATGTACATATCTATAAAGATGCGATTTGTGTATCGCCAGATCGATTCTTCGCTATGTAGATGCCACAAGAGGCAGGCAACAATTCAATTTAACCATGATTTGCACGTGAAAGTACATGTATAATAACTTATACGGTTGGAAAGATTCGACAGTCTATTTTCGCACGTGCATTAAAATTTGAGCAGGTCATTTAAATACATGTGGTTTTGTATACTGGTTGTAAACACTGAAATTTGAGAGAGGAGCAAAAGGCTTATTGTAAATTAGTGGGTTAATGGGTAAATGCCCGTCAGAAATAAAAACGGATCTAGATTTAGTTTATGGAGAAAATGCCCTTCCATATCGTACAGCTGCCGGGTTGGTATCAATGTTTAAAGAAGGTAGAACTTATGTTAAGGATAATCCCCACCCTAAGCGGCCAATTGTCGCGACCTCTGAAAAAGGCATAAAGATATACCGTGGAGGGGATAAGTGACATAATGGGTCTTAGTGCATCGTATTGAGAGAAAAGTTAAGGAAAGTGTGAGCCCGTTGGATCCTGCTTTTGCTAACTTCTGACCAGAAAAGGGAGCGGGTTGAAAGCCTCGGCCTCATCGACTAGATTCAAAGATCGAGACCTGAGGTCCATGATAATGCACCTGTGCATCGGTCAGCCTTAGTTCAAGGTTATTTAGAGGAGCTGAGAAATGAGGATTTGCTACATCCCGCTTATAGTCCTGATCATCTCCTTGTGGTCTTTGGTTAAATTCATACATCAAATCTTGCCTTCGCGGTCGCCGGTTCGAAACCCGTAGTGAGAGTGGGAGCGCTTTCTACCAGTCTATAAACAGTTTACCTTTCGGAATGGATTCTGAGGCTGGAGAAGTGTGAAGAGGTCCATGGTGAATATTTTGAAGGACTCTTCTTATCATTTTTCTCACGTATGAATTATTTATAAAAACGCGCTGCCGTTGCAACTTATTTAAATATGCACCTCGTAGAAACTAGATGTTGCTATTGGAAAGAAAAATTGATGTATCAAATATAAAGTGGAGACATACACATAGATTACCGACTTGAAAAACACTGCCAAAACAGACACCATTTTAAAATATTGTTTGATTCCAATGTATTGACAGAAAAGTATCGAGTTTTTTTAAAAGTGATTTTTTTTTGTATATAAAGTAGTCCGGCAAGACACAAGTAAAATAGGTAAAATTTGTTTCACTGCAGTGAAAAATATATTTTTTACAGTGAAAATAAGGAAAACGAAAATACGCATTTTATTTCATCAATATAAGTCGCGCGCATGAACAAGTTCTCTAGGTCAAGACAAAGGTAAACGCTTGTTATATCCGGAGCAAAATTTCTACATACATTCAAATATGGCGTTGCACAAATGTTCACGATTGTAACGCTGTGTTGTGCGCAATATTCAGCTTCCTGTGTTCAAGGTCACACGTGGTCACGTCATATATAAACGTGTATCGACAGTTTTGTGTAGCCATGAATGAGGAATTCTAGGAGATTTTGGCCAGAGTGCATATTTTCTACAATTCTGGATTGATTTAAATACATCTTGATATTTTATTCAAATGAAAACATTGAAATGATGTAATCTCCAAATGGTTCTCTGTGTATACAAAGTATTATCAACCGATCTTCTGTATTTTCTGTTAAGGCAGGATCCAGAATTCTTTGGACAGAACATAGAACCTTTATACGGATTTTTACTTACATACCATACAATGTAACATGTAGCATTAAGCTAGCATTGTACTCAGTCTAGATTTCTTTGGAGAACGGTATTACACACATAGTCACATAGAACACATTTGAAAGGCATAACCTTCATATAGTACCACATACAAAGTTCTTGTAATTTTTGAGTTATGGCAGGTTCTAGATTCATATGAAACAAGGTTATGACGGACAGTCAGACGGAAAGGCGAAACACGTAAATTCCAAATGGTTCTAAAGCCACAAACCAAATAGTACATTTTATCAACTTAACTTTTGTAAAAAGTTATGGCCGGATTTCCTTAACCATAAAGCAACCACGATAAATAATTACAATGACGATAAATAATTACAACTAGAACTATCACTTAATGTGATTAATACCCCCGCAAGATTGCTTCGGAAATTAGGAAGTTACAAGTAACAGAATACCTTGCAAAAGAACTGAAATAGTTCTGGTTGTCGGCAATTAAAGATAGTTGTGGTTCTTGTATGTTGCATTTTGACCATTGATGAAGTTTTATTGGATTACTTTGAAAAAGTCCAAAAAGAGTTACGCGTCTTTAGCACAGCATTTCCACTCATTGCACTTGACCATTGAATGAAGTTTCATTGAATTCAAAACATTAATTGTTAAGTTATGCACCTGACAAGGAAAAGTATCAAAGGGCAATAACTCTGTTATTTGTCAAATGGTGTTATTGTTCTTGTGCACTGCACTTCCTCTTAATGTGCTCGACGATTGTAAGAAGTTGTATTGAATTCCAACGTGTAGTTTTCAAGTTATGCTCCGGACAAGTAAAAGTAACAATGGGCAATAACTTTATAATTACTCAAGATGGAGTTATGGTTCTTGTCCACTGCACTTCTCTTTTTGTGCTGGACCATTGTATGAAGTTGTTTTGAATTCCAACCAGTAGTTTTCAAGTTATACTCTGGACAAGGAAAGGTAACAAAGGGCAATTACTATGTAATTAGTCAAGATGGAGTTATGGTTCTTGTGCACTGAACTTCCTCTCAATGTGCTTGACCATTGTATGAAGTTATATTGAATTCCAACCATTAGTCTTCAAGTTATGGTCTGAACAAAAGAAAGCAATGGAAAAGTAACAAAGGTCAATAACTCTGTAATTATTTTAGATAGAGTTATGGTTCTTGTGCACTGAACTTCCTCTCAATGTGCTTGACCATTGTATGAAGTAATATTGAATTACAACCAGTAGTCTTCAAGTTACGCTCCGGACAAGGAAAATGCAACGGACGGCTGGACCGACCACCGAGTGACTCCTTTATACCCCCCAAACTTTGTTTCAGGAGAATAATGACGATAAATAATTACAATGACGGGGCATAATCTCCATATGGTTATCTCTCTGCGCATATTATCCAGGTAGCTTTTGTACATAATTGACTGTTACATCAAGATCTTGATTTTAAGACTGATGGAGGGTGAATTTAATAATCTCCCATTTACTCCAAGGGAACCTAAACATTTTTTACGAGAAGAAAAAGAAGGAAAAAGTCAGACTTAACAAAGCTTTAATCATTCCATTTCTCTTGTTAATAAAATATCAAAACTTAATGACATTGAATCTGATCTTCACAACATGGTATAAATTTTACACTTCCTTGAAATGATGACAAATAAACCACATTTTATTAATTCCTGATTTTTAAGATGTTAATATTAATCTAAATCACATGCGATACATTTCAAAAACTTGCTTTTATCTATATATTTTAAATGTTAAATCTAGGTGTTTTAAATATTACAAATCATTTTCATGACAATTTTGAAATTACCTATCAAAGAGTTCATTTAACAAATCACTAAGTTATCTTTCTAAATTCTAGTATGTTCAATATAAAGTACAGTTTTGCTATTACATGTATATATATATATCATATAAACACATTCTTTGTTAGAATCTCAGATTTGTATCAGTCTATGAATTGTTCTGTATAAATCGCTGATCTGTTACAACATTAGACTGCACATTACTTCCCATTTGGAAGGATCCACTATTACTCCCATTTGGAACCAAATTGTTCCCAGAATAAGGGTATGAACCACCAGTGGTAGGTATAAATCCACCCTGTCCTGCAGGCTGACTCTGTCCAACAAAATTGCTCTGATATCCGTATCCCTGTGGCGGAACAAACTGGTTGCTTGAGCTGGTACTTTGTACAGGCCCCTGCGAGACACCTTGCTGTTGATTATTTATGAAATTCTGATTATGAACCAAATTTGTATTTTCATTATTTTGAACACTCAAGCCTGTTTGTCCTAGAACATTTGGCATTTGGAAGTTTGACAACTCCGGTCTATGTACATTTGGTGGTTGACTATTGCACGACAATGGGTTCATACCGCCAAACTGAGAACTGGTATTTACTGGTGGAGTAAAGTTAGTTACATTCAGACCACCTTGTCCAGGTTCATTACTGCTATTGAAATTAGACTGTCCACTGAAATTGTTTGTCTGAAATGGCATATGGTTTGTTTGAAAGTTACTTTGCAATGGCTGATTAAATGTGTTCTGTCTATTGTTCATACTAAAGTTGGGAACATTCCCTACACTACTTTGCAATGGAGTGTTACCAGTCTGTGTAATATTTGACTGGTTACTTTGGAATGATGCACTATTATTAACTGGTTGCCCTTGGTTAAACATTTGGTTCCCAGCATTCATTTGTTGATGACTAATAGACTGATTCCCTTGAAGAAATGACTGGTTATTTGGATTTGTAATTTTTGAGGCAACAAATGGAGGAGTCATGCTAACTTGAGAACCCATCCAGGGATTAACACCAGCAGGTTGGTTTGACTGTCTTACAGGATTACCAGATTGAAATTGTGGTGGTGGTTGAGAAAAGTCAACATTCATTGGTGCTTGAGGAGCACTCTGACCCTGACTTTGTCCAAAGCCTGGTGTGCCCATTGGTGGGGGAGGACCTTGAATGTTAAAGGGTCTGTTTGAAGGAGAGGGGCTGTTTATTGACACTTGACCAGAATTCTGCATATTATTCGGGAAGTTTGTATTCATAGGAGGTCTCCAACTGTTTTGTTGCCGAATATTTCTACCTCCATATTGTGGCTGTCCCTGGTTCTGACCCATTCTTGGCCTATTCTGGAAATCTGGGGGCCCGCCAAAACGAGACTGTGGTCTGCTGAAGTTATTCTGACCCGACGGCCATCTTTGTCTGTTGGAATTGCTGAAGTTTTCATTTGCCTGGTGTCTACCTCCATACCTAGGAGGACCACTGTTACCATGTCCGTTCTGAATATCTTTGAATGGATTCCAGCCTCGTTTTGGATGTTGTATCTGCTGCTCTGGCCTAATACCAGACTGTTCATCTAGAAAATATAAAATATTAAACATAAGTAAGACCATTGAATGAAACATAGCATAAGGGCATATTTACCTGTAATTTACAAACACAACTTTTCAAAATTACTGATTTGCCCCCTGAATTATTGGATCAATTATGTGGAACAAAGAATAAATGGTAATAAATTTTAATCAGTATTAAATGTAATCTGGGACATAAATTCACATAATATAATTGAACATCAGCTACCAACTAGATATGCAGTTGTATGTTGGCATCCAACTGACAGCCAATTATAAGAAAGGTTTAAATAATATATTTATGCTGTGGTCAATCATTTAATTACCATATAAATACTAAAATACTGTTGCAATCTTATGTCAATAGATAGTATCCAGAACCTGGCAAATGTGTGGGTTTTTTTTTTATAGCTAATCCTCGGTACAAACAAATTTTTACCATTATAGCATCATGATGCACTATGGTCACAAAAGTTTAGTTAGCCTTTTGCCCTTATTTTCGAAGCTGTATTTGTAAACAAGAGCTGTCGGTAGGACAGCAATGCTCGACTATTCTTAGTGCTTGAAAGTAAAAAAAAATGCTTGATACAGTTACCTCCTCCTCTTTACAGGTTGGGGTCATGATGGTGAACAAGTGTGCAAAGTTTCAAAGCCATATGTCAATGGACTTTGAAAATATTTGAACTATTACAAAAACTGTAACGTAAATTCTAAGTCGAAAAAGAGGCATAATTCTGTCAAAATGCTTGATAAAGTTACCTCTTCCTGTCTACAGGTTGGGGTCATGATGGTGAACAAGTGTGTTAAGTTTCAAAGCCATATGTCAATGGACTTTGAAAATATTTTAACTATTACAAAAACTTTAACGTAAATAAGTCGAAAAACGGGCATAATTCTGTCAAAATGCTTGATACAGTTACCTCCTCCTGTCTACAGGTTGGGGTCATGATGGTGAACAAGTGTGTAAAGTTTCAAAGCCATATGTCAATGGACTTTGAAAATATTTTAACTATTACAAAAACTTTAACGTAAATTCTAAGTCGAAAAAGGGGCATAATTCTGTCAAAATGCTTGATACAGTTACCTCCTCCTGTCTACAGGTTGGGGTCATGATGGTGAACAAGTGTGCAAAGTTTCAAAGCCATATGTCAATGGACTTTGAAAATATTTTAACTATTACAAAAACTTTAACGTAAATTCTAAGTCGAAAAAGGGGCATAATTCTGTCAAAATGCTTGATAGAGTTACCTCCTCCTGTCTACAGGTTGGGGTCATGATGGTGAACAAGTGTGCAAAGTTTGAAAGCCATATGTCAATGGAATTTGAAAATATTTGAACTATTACAAAAACTTTAACATAAGTGGTTACGCCGACGCCGACGCGGACGCCGACGCTCGGGTGACTGCAATAGCTCTACTTATTCTTATCGAATAGTCGAGCTAAAAATTGTTGGTATCCCCCTGGATTATCTGGGAAAAACCCAAAATACTTTTGCTTGTCCAATTATATTATGTCTAAGATATAATCAAGTTTTCACATGAGATTTGACATTGAGATTCTATGCAAATCCATATAGATCACTATGATCCTAGTTAGGCATGCTACACAATATATCATATCACAACAGTCAACTACAGGTGAATTCAAATTAAGGCATTCTGCGTGTTTAGATAATTAGAACTTACCTCTATTTGGTCTGTTCCTATTGCGCTGCCTCGGATTTTTCTTGTGGACTGCACTATCACCATCTTCCCCATTTGCAGCTTCAGTATCTCCAAACTTTTTGTTACGTCTCTTTGCTTTAGCTCTACGTTCTGCTTCATCATCCGAGTAATCCAGATGCTAAAAATAGACACATTTTCAAAACCAATAAAATCATAATTTAAACACATGAACTAGTATCACGTAAGTATTCAATACAATTATGTACAGTACATTAATTAAGTTATGGTACAATGTCAAGAAAAAAACTAATTAAGAATGATAACAAAGTTTTTAAACAAATATTTTGTGAAAAGAACTGTCCCCCAAGATATTTCAATAAAAAAAAATCATTGTTCAGTTCAAAGGTATTCATATAAGCTTAATTGTGAAACAAGTTCTTGCAACTTATATGAGTCTATATAAATATGAGCCCGCTTCCTGAAATTAACAACAATATGTAACCTAATTACCAACATACCTCCCTAAGGGAATATTTACATGAAGAACACAATAGCATTATTTAGAACACAATAGTATTATTTGAAAAGATTGAGGTCTGAAAATGGACTTCCAGTGCAAAATCTCATAAATGTTGGATATAAACATGCAACAATAAATTCATTAGAGAAATATAATGAAATAAGAGAAATACATCTGAGCAGTCATTATTAGAACATAAAGGGAGATAAATGAAATTTTAAAGATTTAGTTATGATACTTTTGCAGTGATCTCCCTCTCACTGTTATCTATTTATATTTTAAATTTTACTGGTATTTCTCCAGTACATTCACAGTTATTCTTTCGGCAAGGAAAACACAAACCATGATCACTAAGTTTGACCTAAATTGTAGGTGTCTGGGTGTTGCCAATGACATACTGTCTGAATATGGCAAATATAAAATACTTTTTATGCAAATTAAAAATTGTGGACCGGACATAAAACAGACCTTTTAAATGACCATGTTAACTTTGACCTCTAAGTTGACCATGTTAAACTTTGACCTCTAAGTGTGACCTGGACTTTGAAGGAAGGGGTCTGATTGTTGTGTAAGGCATGTTATCTGATTATGGTGAACTTTTGTGCCAAGTTATATCAAAATCCCTTGATGGATAAAATAGTTACTTGACACAAAATATACCCTACATCAGACAGTGTTGACCTTTGCTTTCCAAGTTTGACCTTGACCATGGAGATAGTGGTCTAGGTGTTGAGCATGACATATAGTCATATTCTTATGGTGAGCATTTGTGCCAAATTATTTTAAAATCATTTGATGAACGGCTGACTTACGGACGAGACACAGTGTGATGATGGACGGAGGGACAGAGCCAAATCAGCAGCCAATACATATATTTCATCATCATATAAACAACATAATCTAAAAATATGAAATCTTTACCTTCTCTGGAGGTTCATTATTGTCTTCCCAAGAGGCATCTGACCCTCTTATACTAAAATAAATAAAATATAGTATTTTAGTGGCTAAATCATTGTTCTGACATTCGTGTGGAAAAGAATAAATTATCGTAACTAAGACGTAGCTAAATCATTGTTCTGACATTTGTGTGGAAATGAATAAAGTATAGTAACTAAGTAGCTAAATCATTATTCTGACATTTGTGTGGAAAAGAATAAAGTATAGTAACTAAGACGTAGCTAAATCATTGTTCTGACCTTTTCTGCTAAAACGAATAAAGTATAGTAACTAACTGGCAAAATCATTCTTAATTTCAAATTTAAGATAAAATGAAGTTACATATATCATTGCTAACAAGAACTTATACTCTGATTATTCTCATTTATCTTAATTCGCCCTGTGTATTGCAATAGAAAAATTCAACTAAAAGTAGCCTTCCAAAATTAAAACAAAATTTCAAGGTCATGGTATGAAATGGTATACAGTCTAACTTGCCCATGCGACCACGTGTATTAAGCGACTTTTGTCTTAAACGACCACTTTAAATTCCCCCCGATCATTTTCTCTCTATATCTTTAATGTATTAAGCGACTTTTGCTCAACGCGACCAGCGACCGCTAATTAGTCACCTAATTGACATCAATCTTTTCATTAAACGACCACTTTTACCTGTCAAGTAATTGTGTTTTTAGAGAACGCCACCTCGTTATGTCACAAGTGTCAACAATCAATACACAACAATAACCGTGTGAAAAACTCTATTTCCCATACCGTTTTAGCGTATGCAAATGGAGATAAGTATGCGCGTGACGTGTATTATCCAATAATATCGAATAAACAATGCAACACTCCGCCCATACTGAGATGGTGTATACGCTTCGCTTGTTGACATTTAGACTGCATTGAATTGACCTTGAACTTGATCAGCCATTAAATTAATCGTAACAAATAGATGTAGTTTGTTTATTTCAAATGAAAAAATGCACAACAGTAAACATCTTCACTAATAGGGTTTTCGTGTTGGAGACAAGGAAAAACAACAGAGAAGTTAAAAAATTCTGGAAAAAATGTCAAACATGTACGTAATGGATCAAAACTGTTTTGTCAATAAATATCAGAAAGTTATTTTTTACATTTTCATCCATTTAGATTATCGGAGCATACTTATTATTCAATATTTATATAAAAATGAAGTTGAAAAACAATCCCACCGAATAAAAAAAGATTTCATTTATTATAAATTTTGACTTTTATATCATGCTGACTGTCTTAAGAGACCGTTTCATTAAGCGACCGTTTTGGGTGTTTCCCTTGCCCGGTCGCTTAATACACGTTTGACTGTACATGATGAACTCCTCCTTTATGGCATAATTATTCCACACCAAGCCATCAAAATCATGCATTCTTTGAAAAAGAACTTTAAAACTGTATTGTTTGAACAATTTAAAATACTAATGCTTTTAAATGTCAGTTAATAAATAAATGTTGGGGCCAGTATGAACTTTTATGTGTTTTTTCAGACATTCATTTGGTATAACTGTTTACACTTGTGATGGCATGTGGCAACACCCTATAAACAAGAGGGCCATGATGGCCCTGAGGTCGCTCACCTGTATATAGGCCCCCCACCCCCGGGCCAATTTTTACCCAAGGGCTTTTATTTGTTTATTTGAACAGACTTGGTAGACACCCATAAGAAGATGTTTCATGCTAAACATCTAAGTTCTAGCTCATTGGGTTTTTTAAAAGAAGATTTTTAAAGTTTTTACTATACACATATACATGTAGTTAAAAACAATGACACCCCTGGGGCAGGGCCAGTTTTGACCCCCGGGCTTTTATTTGAACAAACTTTGTAGATATTTACTAAAAGATGTTTCATGCTAAATATCTAAACTCTAGCTATTTGGGTTCTTCAAAGAAGATTTTTAAGTTTTTGCTATACACATATAAGGAAAATCAATGACCCCCCCCGGGCGGGGCCAGTTTTGACCCCAGGGCTTTTATTTGAACATACTTGCTAGACACCCATTAGAACATGTTTCATGCTAAATATCTAAATATCTTAGCTCTAGCTCTTTGAGTTAAAAGAAGATTTTTTAAGTTTTTACTATATGCATATAGGGAAAATCAATGACCCCCTGGGGCGGGGCCAATTTTGACCCCAGGGCTTTTATTTGAACAAACTTGGTAGACACTCATTAGAAGATGTTTCATGCTAAATATCTTAGCTCTAGCTCTTTGGGTTCTTTAAAAGAAGATTTTATAAGTTTTAACTATATGCATATAGGGAAAATCTATGACCCCCTGGGGCGGGGTCAATTTTGACCCCAGGGCTTTTATTTGAACAAACTTGGTAGACATTCACTAGAAGATGTTTCATGCCAAATATCTAAGCTCTAGCTCTTATGGTTCTTTAAAAGAAGATTTTTTAAGTTTTTACTTTATGCATATAGGGAAAATCAATGACCCCCCCGGGGTGTGGCCAATTTTGACCACAGGGCTTTAATTTGAACAAACTTGGTAGACACTCACTAGAAGATGTTTCATGCTTAATATCTTAGCTCTAGCTCTTTGGGTTCTTTAAAAGAAGATTTTTTAAGTTTTTACTATATGCATATAAGGAAAATCAATGACCCCCTGGGGCGGGGCCAATTTTGACCCCAGGGCTTTTATTTGAACAAACTTGGTAGACATTCACTAGAAGATGTTTCATGCTTAATATCTAAGCTCTAGCTCTTACGGTTCTTTAAAAGAAGATTTTTTAAGTTTTTACTATATGCATATAGGGAAAATCAATGACCCCCCGGGGCGGGGCCAATTTTGACCCAAGGGCTTTTATTTGAACAAACTTGGTAGACACTCACTAGACGATGTTTCATGCCAAATATCTTAGCTCTAGCTCTTTGGGTTCTTTAAAAGAAGATTTTTTAAGTTTTTACTATATGCATATAGGGAAAATCAATGACCCCCTGGGGCGGGGCCAATTTTGACCCCAGGGCTTTTATTTGAACAAACTTGGTAGACACTCACTAGAAGATGTTTCATGCCAAATATCTAAGCTCTAGCTCTTAGGGTTGTTTAAAAGAAGATATTTAAAGATTTTTCTTTCGGTTGCCATGGCAACCAGAGTTCTGCATGGCATTAAATTCTTTGAACAATTTTTAAAGGTGACCACCAAAGGAACATTCCTGTGAAGTTTGGATGAAATTGGCTCAGTGGTTTATGAGGAGATGTCATTTAAAGCAAAAGTTTACGGACGGACGCCGGACGGACGACGGACGGACGGACGCCGGACGAAAAGCGATCACAAAAGCTCACCCTGTCACTTTGTGACAGGTGAGCTAAAAACACAAATACTTGATAGGTGTAAGTGGCTGCTTGATGAAAAGATTGATCACGATAAACTGACTTTAAATTAGTGGTCGCTGGTTTCTTAAGTAACACATTAAAGATATAGAGAGAAAATGATCAGGAGGAATTTATTTGGTCACTACAGACAAAAGTCGTTTAATGCACATGGTCACTTGGGCAAGTTAGACTATACATTGTAATCATAACACAAGAACTGGGTCTGATGTTATAAAGAAATTCTTTATGCTCAAATTCAGTTATTTGATTGGTAAGAATCTGTCACAGAATGTTCACTGACCAATGAAAATCCTAAGACTTGAGAAAAACTCTGAAATCGTTATACGACCCGTCTCACGACAAAACCAACAAAGTGGGTTGTGACCAGCATGGATCCAGACCAGCCTGCGCATCTGCACAGTCTGATCAGGATCCATGCTGTTCGCTATCAGTTTCTGTACTTGTAATAGGGTTTGTAAGCGAACAGCATGGATCCTGATCAGACTGCACGGATGCGCAGACTGGTCTGGATCCATGCTGGTCACAAACGCACTATGTTGGTTTTGTCATGACGCGACTCATATATAATAAGTGAACTTCACTGATAGTTTTTATTTCAGTCTTCAAACAATATGCTCTATTAATCACCAAATTTACATACGTTTTAAGACTATCCACAAACACAAACTTGGTGAAAGAATCTTCTCGTGGAGCACAAAAAACTGGCATACCCACTTTCAGACCTTTGGCTTCAATATTGTTTACTTCATTAAATCTGACTGAATACCATGGAGTCTTAACGGGACCAAACACTTCAAAAACCTGTAATACACAAAGAGAAATATAGATGATATATTTGCATGGATGTCAAAATATCAGAAAACCTGAAAACCATAAATTTAGCAATATTTCAATTGGTTTACACATATAGAGTACTTTCATAAGTATAACAAATCTGAATTTCAGGTATATGCCTAAAAACTTGTACCAATGTATTTGATAATAAAATACGCATGCAGCTTGTTGTGTAATTTTATTTCAATACTAATGTTACATATGGGTCTATAATTGTTAATACTTTCTGGCAAGAAAAAATAAGATTTGTCCATTTGTTGTTCAGTGACATTATGCCCATCCTAGAGCAAATGATGAGTGTTAAATTGGAGGATAAATAAGATAACTTAACATTTTGTTATTTTTGTTTTCTGGTTTATAATGAAATTCATAATACTCATGAGTGACTCTAATCAGATTTATCCGGATACACCAATAAGAAATTGAAATATGCCCATTTTAAGTCCATGTAAAGTGTTTTTTATTTTGCGGAGTGTATATATTTATTTATTATATACTTATAAATGAAATATTGAGAAATATTGATGAAATAAAATGCATATTTCATTTTCCGTATTTTCACTGTAAAAATTTATTTTTCACTACAGTGAAACATATTTTCCGTATTTTCACTGGTGTCTTGCCGGACTACTTTCTTTTAAATTCTGCCATTACACAAAATTTAAGGGAAAGCCTTTCAAATTTTATAGCAAACAAGAGCTGTCGGTGGGACAGCACGCTCGACTATTCTAAGTGCTTGATAGTAAAAGAGCCTTGATAATGTTAAATTTTTTAAGTTCACAAAAGGGCTAATTTTTTTTTTTATAAATTCATGTTATAGGCCTTAGAGAGAGTCTAATTACACAGTATTGGCTTGACTATTCGGAAGGTAATGTCACAAGGGTGTTTTATTGAGTATAACAATACTAATTACCTATGAATACATAAATTTGACAGAAAAGGTAGAAAGGCTTGTTATTAAGATGTTTTATCAAGTAAATCACTGCTTTATTATTATGAACGCATAAAATTGTCCCAAAAAAGGCACAAACCCTTCAGTAGTTACTGAGATAACAGCTTACAAGCAAAACTTTACCATGAATTTCTAAGTTGAAAAAGGGGAGAAAAATCAGCCTAAATGCAAGATAGAATTATGGATCTTTGTCAGTGACCTACAATTATGACATTAAATGCATATGTGAAGTTTTAAATAAATATCTTTAATAGTTATTGAGATATGTAAAACTTGCATGTAAACATTAACCAAGAGAGTAAGTAGAAAAGGGGATATGAATCAGTCTTAATGCAAGATAGAGTTATGGAACTTGGTCAGTGACATACAATTATGACCCTCCAATTATGATCCTAAGTGCATGTGTTAAGTTTCAAGTAAATATCTTTGAAGACCTTTAACCTTTAACCAAATTTCTAAGTTTCAAAGGGGCAAATAATTCTGCAAATATTGCAGGCAGAGTTATGCAATTTTGCAAACTGATGTACATTGTTACTATAAAAAAGTATTTTAAATTTCAATTTAATATCTCATATATGACTTTACAAAAAAACTTTAACCAAAATTTCTAAGTTCCATGGGGGCATAATTCTGTCAATATTGTAGGCAGAGTTATCCAACTTGTCAATCTGATGTACCTTGTTACTATAAATAAGTATTGTAAGTTTCAATTGAATATCTCAAGCAATAATTGAGATATTTGACTTTAGAAAAAAAACTTTAACCAAAATTTCTAAGTTAAAAAGGGGCATAATTCTGTCAATATTGTAGGCAGAGTTATCCAACTTGTCAATCTGATGTACCTTGTTACTATAAATAAGTATTGTAAGTTTCAACTGAATATCTCAAGCAATAATTGAGATATTTGACTTTAGAAAAAACTTTAACCAAAATTTCTAAGTTAAAAAGGGGCATAATTCTGTCAATATTGTAGGCAGAGTTATCCAACTTGTCAATCTGATGTACCTTGTTACTATAAATAAGTATTGTAAGTTTCAACTGAATATCTCAAGCAATAATTGAGATATTTGACTTTAGAAAAAACTTTAACCAAAATTTCTAAGTTAAAAAGGGGCATAATTCTGTCAATATTGTAGGCAGAGTTATCCAACTTGTCAATCTGATGAACCTTGTTACTATAAATAAGTATTGTAAGGTTCAATTGAATATCTCAAGTAATAATTGAGATATTTGACTTTACAAAAAACTTTAACCAACGCAGACGCCGACGACGCTGACGCCGACGCCGGGGCGACTACAATAGCTCTCATATTCTTCGAATAGTCGAGCTAAAAAGAGAAAAATGTATATAATAAACAGAAAATTCAAGTTTTTTCTATAAATACATGATTTATTTTCATCTTGTGGCATGAAAATTACCATATTTCATTCGTGGCTACCGCCACTCATGAAATATTTATTTTCATACCACTCGATGAAAATAAATCATGTATTTATAGAAAAAACTTGAATATCCTCTATTTATGCTAATAGATAAGTTCACTGATGATTTAAACATTTTAATTACCTGACCAAGAACCTTGTGACCCTCAACAAACAGAATAGTTTCATCATTAAGTGGTGGAACATTTTCATTAGACTGTATCACAACTGAAATATAAAAGACAGAGATACACAGAACAAATTGTTCCATAACATTTCTTTTATAGATACTTCTATCTTCTATAAAATTGAGCCGCGTCATGACAAAACCAACATAGTGCGTTTGCGACCAGCATGGATCCAGACCAGCCTGCACATCCGCGCAGTCTGATCAGGATTCATGCTGTTCGCTATCAGTTTCTATACTTGCTATAGGGTATGTAAGCAAACAGCATGGATCCTGATCAGACTGTGCAGATGCGCAGGCTGGTCTGGATCCATGCTGGTCGCAAACCCATTATGTTGGTTTTGTCATGACGCGGCTCAAATTTCTTAACACACTTTTGATAGTCTGTTATAGTATGATCTGTTTAAAGGCACATTATGCCTCAGAAACAAATAAATTAATCTTTTTAAATACATAGCTAATTCAGCTCAACTTGACAGAAACAATTCATCGGCCACACATTTAGTTTCCACTTAACAACATTGTTTGTACTGATGCTCATGACCACAAACAAAAACTTAACCAAATAGGTGAACAAACAATGATGCCACTGTGAGTCGAAGAAAAGATTGAGCTAAGGGCAAAAATATACTAGAAGGGTTTTTGTCACAAAAACATAAGTCTCCAAAAACTATGTATGGTCACTCATGCGAGGTTTCATTGAAATCCCAACAGTAGTTTGACCTGTGAAAGCCGCACAAGATTTTTCTTTTTTTAGTTCTGACGGCCATTTTTTTCAGGAAAGTAAAACGTGCCTGTGATGTGCACAACTAAGGATGGTACTGATCACTCCTGTACAGTTTGGTTGAAATCCCACCAGTAGTTTGACCTGTGAAGGCCGGAAAAGATTTTTCTATTTTTAGCTCTGGCGGCCATTTCGTGCAGCAAAGCAGAACATGCCAGTGTTGTGCACAACTAGGGATGGTACTGATCACTCCTGTAAAGGTTGGTTGAAATCCCACCAGTAGTTTGACCTGTGAAGGGTGGACAAGCTTAATGCGGACGGATGGACAACCAGACAGACAGACAACAAAGGCAAAACAATTTGGGAGACATCATTATAAATACCTAGAATGCCAACAATGCTTTTGATGCTGCCAACCTCTACCATAACAACAGACTCATCTACTGTTATTGTCAACTCTTCAAGGGGAGGTAAATCCTGTAAATTATAAAACATTTATATCATTATTTTTTTTTACAATCAAAGAAAGTTGCTTACAATTTGTTTCCCTAAGCACAGCTTAAATGACATTTTAGTCTTCATAACATTTTCTTAGTTAAGTAAGATGGTGCCATTTTGTTTATGCAGGGATGCCAACAGACAATTTGGAAAAACGAGGAAAATTAAACACGAGGGGTCATGGGGGCTGCGTAGGCCCCCATGCAGGTCCAGGGCAGAGCCCCCCGGGGGCAAAGCCCCCGGAAGCTCCAGGGTTTTCATCCTTTTCAGATGGTCTAAAATTCATTTCCTTTTAGTGCTTTATCACATATTTTCATCAACTGATATTGATATTTACTGATATTTATTTTGACGAAATCATCACCAATGCGGACGGTTGTCTCGTTGATCAGATATTCACATTTACTGTGTTCTCTAACCATTTCAAATTAAACTTATTTTTAACATTTTTGTCAAGTCTTTGATCTTCGAAGCGTTGTTGGAGTTAATTGGCTAATCGGCCGACATTTTGTTTTGATTTCTTCAACTACAGAAAGACGCTACGATTGGTCGGTTTATTTAACGCTATCGTTCATTGGCTTACTATAATAGCAACAATAACTGAACATACCCGAAAAGCGGTACGGTCTTAATATTTACGGTACGGTCTAAACATTTACAATCGGCGGACAATAGATGGTAGCAAACTCGGCGAAAGAGACCCCCACCCACCAAATTTTCTCCTCGGATTTACATTGTTATCAAAAGTGGTTCGAGGACCTCGAAATCCGCAGATTTCTGCGGATCCGCAGAAAATTGGCATCCCTGTTTATGCTTGAAAAACAATATCACACTTGCTGGTCTTGTTCAGTCAGGAAACTGTTTGTGATGTCAGTACAGTCTTACAATTTCCTGCTTAAAACCAACAATTTCAAAATGTTTAAATGTTTGTTTTAAGTTGGTCTTAGGCCATACTATTACAGTGTAAGAAATAAGGATATGAATCTACTAGGCTGGTCGGACTACCAGATTGGAATATTCACTAGCCCAAAAGACATTTCACTAGCACGATTCATTTGTTCACAACAGCTGTTTATATTGCCTCTGAAAATACAGTAGCCTGGTTGGGCTTGTTACTGTGAAAGTTGGTAGCCCGAGGAGAAATTTAGTAGTCTGGGGCTATAGGACTACTGCTAATTTCAAACACTGCTATTACTGTAAAGATCATTTAGCAGTTTTAAAGCTTTATTGTTGGAAGGAGATTGAAAATACTAATCCATGTATTACTACAGACACCAGCAGAGATCTGCCAAGAATTTGAAAGTACTGGGCCCTGGGCCCACTTGGTCTGAAAATGATGGGCCATTTTTACCAAAGTATGGGCCTTGGGAAAATAAGTTAACATTGACCAAAATAACTGTTAAAAAGTTTGTAGATAATTGAATTGCCCCGGTAATAAAACTTAAATCATATTTTATGACAAGTGGTTCACTTATGATTCAGTACTTTACCAATAATTAAAAATCATGCCTACATGGTAACTTTCTAACTAATATTAATTGCAGGCAAAAATGAAAATATTTTTTAAATGGCTGCTCAAAAATTTGATATGCAAATTTATCCACATAATTGCTGGTTCTTACTTGTAATGTCTTCTATTGTGCATTATCCATTTAATTGTTCCTACTTTGCACCAAATGTCCCTTACCACTGTACAGGTACATTGATGAATTTTATTGCCCCTTGTATGCCTCTGTGTAGACAGCATACATCAAAGACATTTGCCGACAGACCTTTTGATCATGAAAAAAGTCATGCACAATGTTTCTCTGATTGGTTAATAATCACCCTGTCAAACATTCTGATAACGAAATATACATCTTTTCTTACACTTCATCAGCCAAAACTTGCGTGAACTTGAGTGACCTTAGGGTTGATCAAGTTGAACACCTGTCAGATTATACTGTAACTTACAGCATTTCTTAAAATAGCAACACTTTTTTCAGTTACCGATAATCATTTTAAATATTAAGCAGTTGTATAATTTGTTTGTTTGTTTTATTGGATTAAATTTACGGTAGTAGAAATGAGTATCTGTGTGGGAAAGGGATTATGAGAAGAAATGCGATAAGTAGATAACATGGACAAAAGCTATAGGGGATAATGGATAAACTCAAGAATATGCGTAATTACAGGAGCATGGGTAACATGTTGCTGTTGGTACCAGTTTTGACTGGATGACTAAATAACCCAGCAGACAGTTTTGTTTTCTTATAAGTCTGGCACAGATTTTAGATGCGCCCATGGCCCTTTGCTGCCGATTTTCCTGCGCCATTCTCATTTTTTTAGCGCCAATGGCGCAAAATCGCGTCCTCGGCAGATCTCTGCACCAGCTAGCACTCGAGTAGAAACATTAATAGCTTTCTCACACCAAAAGTTCCCTGCTGGGATTCAAACCCACAAAAATGAAGGCGCAAGTGATTATAAGGCAGCTAAGTTCACCACTTAGCTGTGAAGACCCCTTAGTCTTTCTGTGATCCAGTTTACCTTTGAGAAAAAAATCAGTATCATTTACCTCTGGTAGGAGTTCCCCTTTAGTTCGAATATCTTCAAAACCATATCTGTTTAATTTGACCCTTTTCTCCCTCTCTGGTGAAGCATCTCTCTCATTAGAAATTATTCTGGAAAACATTATATACTGTTTAATTTTTGCTCTGCTATTTTCAATTTATTTATTACTATTCAAACATGATTCCTTTCTATATATAATTATTATACATGTTGTGAATAATATGTAATGCCAATAAAAACTGTTTTAAACTATGATGATCAGATGTGTCCAAAAATTGAAAGACATTACTAATTATTGGATTTATCCATGATTTGAATTTCAATGTTCCAGGAACATCAAAATACTTTACAAGAGCTGACAGTAGGACAGTGCACATGCTCAGCTATTCTCAGCGAGCCTAGATAATGCAGGAATTAACACAGGAAAGATTTCATTAAAAAAAAACATGCAGTGCTTCGCTTATTTTTCAACACATCTTTCAATATTTGAATCATAAACTCACACCATGTTCCTGGCAAATATGTTTCAATTCCAATGGTTCATATCTTCCCAAAGGAGCTCTTGTACTTTCTTGGATATGCTTGAAGGAACTGTGACACATATTTTCATCAAAATATTGCGGCACAGAAAAATTTCTGCAAGCATATAACAGGAAATGTAAAAGAGCTACAATGGAACATTATATACCATTTGAATAGGAAAATAGTTTCTGGGAACATGGTATTTGTTTTTCAGTCAAATATTGAAAATACAACAAAAATGAGCAGATACCATTAGCGGTGACCCAATGATACCTTAAACAAGTGCCACATGATCACCCACCCTGAGGTTAGTCAAAAACAAAATTGTACAGTTCTGATTGTATAGTTCTGATTTAGTATTTGTGTAACAAATGTGTACTTAGCCTCTTACTTATTCAGTTGTGCCTCTGTATCTTTAGCTTCTATTGCCTTATCATTAGCTGTCTCAGGTTCAGAGTCACTGTCTGGTGACGAGTCAGAACTACCATCTCCAGCTATCACTTTCTTTGCAGTTCTGTATTCCATCATGACATTACCTGAACTGTCAACTAAGGTTTCATTATCAATTTCCACATCAGCTTGATTTTTCTCTTCAACATCCATTTCTTTATTTGTGTCTTTGGATTTCTCTGACTGAATAGTATCAAAATGATCAATAGTGACATTTACAGATTCTTTACTTGTTTCATCATTTTTTTTTATAACTGCTTCATTATGTATGCCAGAGTTCTCATTGGAAGATTCTTTTTCAATCAAACCAACACTAACATTGCTTCCTTCATTATCTTTCTTATCACTATTTTCTGTGATATCTTTAGGTAATACACCTTTTTCTGTATTTTTAATGACAGCAGTTTCTTTTCCTGTTGTCACTTCCACTGTATTTTTAATATTTGTATCCAAATTGTCATCAGCTGTTGAAATAGGAGTTTCACCATCTGTTCCTGTTTCTACTCGAGTTCTTGTTTCTACATCATGAATTCCACTGTCAGCACTTTTATTTAAAACACCTGCGTCATTGCAAGAAGGAGGGACAGCCGTCACTTGCATGCTCGATTCATTTGAACATATATCTGTCTTTTCAGGCTGCTTGGAAATGCTGGCCTCTTGGTCCATTTCAAATCAGGAGAATAATGTTCTTGAGTAGATGAAGAGGTTAATCACGAAAAGTATCCTGAAATCAAATAAATGTATTTGAACCCTGTTATACATTGTGTACACTTGGCCACTTTTGATTTTGTGCATTGCAAAATTAAAAGTGGTAAATATTTACTCACATATATAGGCCGATTATGAAAAATATTTGATTATGTGACTAGCGCCTGTGTATTTACGGAATTTGGAGGTTACGTACCATGGAGGTTACGTACCACTGCATAAATGTACCATTTTTGGAGGTTACGTACCACTATAGAAATATATAATAAAGTGATAATAATAGGGATAAGGTGTGAAACTATATCACGTTTATTGTTCAAATTCGCGCATTAATTGTATTTTGTAATGAGATTAAATATGTATGAATATATAAGAATAAACAACAAACCGCAATTAACGATAATAACAAGTTTTATTTACAACACAAAACTGAAAATAATTAATAACAATAATATAATTACACGCACTTAACTGAAATGAACAGTACAATGAAACAAACCACAGCATATATATAAAAAAAACATTTTTTTTTTTCATTTATAGTATTATTGTTTTATTTATACGCATTTAACTCAAATTAACTGAAATAAACAAAATAATCAAAAGCAATAATAATATTTCATATGCATGTTAATAAACCGGACAAAATAACTTACCTTGAATAAAAAAAAACTAAACAAGCGTTACATATTTTATCATTTATACATTACATTTAGTTTCATTTACACGTTAACTGAACTGTGCATAAAATGAAAATAACAATAATTATGTTACACGCTCTGAAATGAAACAACAATACACAATTAACAAGTATTTTTAAAAATATGTGCCAGCCGTTGCTCGACTTCCATCATGCCAGCTACAGCACTCGTAGTGCCGTGTAACATTGCTGGAACTTAAAGGTGGTCTACTTCTTATTGAGTTGTCAACAACCTGAAATTAAATATTAATAAGTTTTCTTATTAAGAAAGAAATTATGCATGCATGCTTTCTGTAAAAGTTGATCGCCGCAAAATTTCATTTTAAAAAATCAGTATTACGTACTAACCGGAGACTTGCAATTATAAATCAGTGTATTCAATCATATGTCAATAGTTTTGCAATTTGTTTGTGATTTGTTAGATTACTCATTTCTGAATGTGTGATAATCATACATAGATATAGGTAAAACGTTTGCATTTAAATTAATTGCTCTTATGTGATTTTTAAAAAGTAATATTAAAGTTATAATTCGGTCTTTTTTTATAATTGTTATGCTCTATATTATTTGTATTTTATATAAATTATATAATTATATATATTTTTTATCGGTACTCTACAATATACGTGTACATACAGTCACTTTTCAATGAAAACGGAGAAGATATACGAATAAAATAAAACATTTACAAAGTTGATCCTGTTAGTAAACAGATAAAATTTTATAACGGCTATGGGTTATAAAAATGATAACATGTTTAAGTTACACCCCTGACTGTCATAGCAGTGTATCATTTATATCCGCTTGCTGGATTTATTAATCTTAGGAAAAAATGATAACGTGTGTGAGAACAATCTGTTATTCGTGAAATTAATACTTTTGGTTTTTATGAAATTACCTTATAATTGGTTACAGAAAAACAAATCATTCTTTTGATAACAATGCTAGTTGTTTGAACAAATGTTGTGATAATAATGTAATTTGCTTGATATTTTGTGACATTACGAAAAATAGAAAAAGATATGACAATTAACAATAACATTATATTTATCATTACTTCGTTGAAGCAGATGCCCAGTACACTGATTAGAGTAAATCGCATTGGTTAATGAACTCTGCTGAAAAAGGAGAAGAGTTTATAACAATAGACTTGCTATATAACTTGCTATATAGCTTATTTCATACCGAAAAAATATTTCTTATTACAATATGTTTGCACATTTAAATTAAAATTTTTGATGATTTAAATTTATTGATTTTATTGATGAGTTCTAAACTAAAGATAGAGGAGGATGTAGTAAGCAAGTCTACAAGATATAATAAGCCACGCCTTTAATATCAAATATCGTTATTGTTACTGTGTGTATGTTTACTCGATGTTTGGGAGTTTATGAGTGTATACTTGGATGCAACACATTTAATAAAATATATAAACCATCCTTCGGGTCTTGTTTAGTTTGTGTGCTTGTAAGCCATCCAAATAGAAAACATAAATGTTACAGAGGATATCAATGATTTTCTTATAAACGTGTGATTCATTCTCTTAGAGGTGTATAAAACAAACAATTTTCACTTGTTGTGGTATTCATAAATAAACAAATGAAAAACAGAAACAAATATTTTATTCATAAACAATGTAACAAACTGAATTTTCTGTAAATTATATAGAACAGAAAATATGTTTTAATTAATGAAACTTAGAGTAAATAATAGACAAAAAAATAATGTTATAAGTAATAAGTCAATATTTCTCTATCATAGCAGTAATAGAATTTCTACTGGCAACCTCACCATATTTTACCCATTTTATATAAATTATATATATGGTACGTATCCTCCAAAATATATAAGTGGTACGTAACCTCCAAAAATGGTACGTAACCTCCTGGTACGTATCCTCCGTGGTACGTAACCTCCAGTAATCGTATTTACTATTACCACTGATTACAGTAACTTTAGTCTAAAGAAATGTTTCTAAGCTAAGAATATATGTATATGCTTTTACTAGCAGTCACTGAAAATGTAAATACCCTGATATCATAGAACCTGTGATATCATAGGAACTGAGTAGCAGTCACTGAAAATGTAAATACCCTGATATCATAGAACCTGTGATATCATAGGAACTGAGTAGCAGTCACTGAAAATGTAAATACCCTGATATCATAGAACCTGTGATATCATAGGAACTGAGTAGCAGTCACTGAAAATGTAAATACCCTGATATCATAGAACCTGAAATATCATAGGAACTGAGTATAAATTTACCCAGAATAAATTTATCCAGAATAGCGGTGTCCGAACTTAATTCCTCAGAGAATTAAACAATGTCAATGATATCAGAGTTCAAAAATAGTAAATATGGAATATACTAAATAATCTAACGAGTTTTGCAGGAAAAAGTTTCTTTTTATTACCTTTCTCAAGGAATACTTTTGGAAATATTCGTTTGTTTACAACAACACGTGCGATCTACAATTGCTGTGCTTGATTTATGCAATGAATTTTTAAATAATGTTTATGAATGTTGAACACCATTAAATATCCATACTGTTTGAAAGATAGTCATGAATGTAAATAAAGTCAAGGAAACAGTTCCGATTATTGTATACCATGCAGTATTATTGTAAGAAAGAAAGAAAGAAAGAGAGAAAGAAAGAAAGAAAGAAAGAAAGAAAGAAAGAAAAAAAGAATGAATGAATGAATGAATGAATGAATGAATGAATGAATGAATGAATGAATGAATGAATGAATGAATGAATGAACGAACGGACGAATTTCCGGCATGGGTAAAACCACGGATTTATATTAAAAAATATATATCCGTGGTAAAACTCACAGAAACGCCAGTCTGCTATGCAAGAAAGTTTATTCCGAATTAAACATTTTCACAATGTTTATACAGTTGAGTTCACACTAAACTTCCCACCCTTGTGCACCTCTAGTGCACTAGAGCTGAACTAGAAGTGCACACCGTGTGCACTTCTAATGCACTAGACCATATGACCAGGCTGGCCAGGGAAGGTGACACCTAAATGGTTTATTGAATAATTGCATATCAAGTGACAGGGGCATCCATTGTTAAGCTGCTGTAAGAAAAAAAAACTTTCGGAATATATGCCCTATTCATGAATATAAATAAGTAAATTTTAAAATCAGGAGTTTTAACACTTTAGGTGATATCATGTTAAAGCCTAAAATTATTTTTTTTTATTTATTGTAATCATATTTTTATTAACCAGTATTTAACTATAAGTCTAAAATAATACCCCTTAAAATAAAATTTATAGAATTAATATATATAATTTTTGTATAATCAAATGTACAAAATAATCATAATGGCATAAACGCATGTTAAATATTATTGTCATTATCGTCTTTGAAGTGGAATTTTCTAATCTTATCATAAAAAACTGGTTTAAAATCAATATCAGTGTTAATATAAGATTCTGGCCTTCGTCAGAGTTTGAAAAGAGGAAAAAACACAGGGTCTTTTAAAAAAAAGGGCAATATACATTGTATGTCCCAACATATCCCAAATTGGATACACTGTACTGTAAAAAGAGATCCAAACTTTCCAAATGATTACTAATTATAATTAACATCATAAATATAATCAAAGCACAGAAGGCGCTGAATTTCTTTGGGTCTTAAAATGAAAGAAAGGTACAGGTTGTGACATTATATGTATAGTTCCACCAATGCTTTCCAGCGTTTCAATTGTAGTAAATTGGCTATAAGACTAATTGCAACACTGATATTCAATCCAATGTTTATTTGACTTAAACAATTTGAAAAAAAAAAATGAGTTGCCTTTACTGGTATTTGAACTCCAGACCTCTCGCTTCCTAAGCGAGCGCGAAAACCCTTCAGCAACGGTGAATTTATATGTGAACGGCCTGAAGAAAACCATATTATTCTAAATTAGGGTTTGTAACGACTTTAACTGTTGTTTAACACAGATGTAAATAATCCTGGAGCTTACTGTAAGCATGTATATTTATAAAGAATCGAAGGGCTGCAAGTTCTGTGGTATTTTCTGATCTTTGCAATCTAAATCGTACTGTATATATGTATGTATTTTCCTGTATAAGTTTATTTTTATGTATTATAATTCATTTTGCAAGGCACCAGAGTTTGATGCATACGGAATTCTGCATAACTAGAGTTGCATCAAAATATCATTTATGTTCATTTTTTACGACAGCTACACTTTATCCTTGTATATCATGGCTACTTCCTTAACAAAGACACTTAAAAAAGAATTAAAAAAAAAGTTTTCCTCGACTGGGATTTGAACTCCAGACCTCTCACTCACGAAGCGAGCGCGTTACCACTGCACTACGGAGAAGTTATACAAACGACAATTGAATAACATCAAGTCATTCTAATTTTAGAACTTCCATATTGCATTTCGGGTTTGTAATCCTTATTAATTTCGAGGTATTTTGTTCAGGATAAACCTGTTATTTAAAATTGAAGTAGTTAATTTAGCGAAAATCTTCTCGCCCAAACAGTCCGACATGTAGAATCGATATATTCCACTACTCGGTCTGTGTAGTATCGCTAAAAATAGTATTTTCATTGATAAAATCATATTCATCTGCGTAATTTGTGATTGTGCATTTATTGACAATTCTATAAGCCAACGCTATTTTTAAACTTTGAATGCGTTGTAATTTGTTGGATACTTGTAACAAAATAAAAATATTTCTTTCTTTTAAATCGCTAGTTTTAAGCTGTTTTAAGAACTACTTGTTGTTAGGTTCGTCGTAAACTTCTGTGTCAGAGATTGAATGTCCGCTTTGTCTTTACTTATTTTTGATCAGAAAATACAATAAAACAATATTAGAAATCTTCGACCATTCGGGAATTATTTTGCTTGAAAATTAATGTGCCTGTCTTTGACCATCTTTACGCAGTGATCTCCCCTGAATTTTTCGGAGTTAGTGTACATATAAAGGGAAGTAACCGCTTCAAAAAGGTGGACTACTTTCGGCATTTGCAATTAACAGCATTAGACTCTGAAATTTCGCTACCATTATTTGTTTGGTCTGGGACGACCCAAACAAATAAAAACACAATTACAAAGAATAATTTAAGAACAGTAGAAAAAAACTGAAAACAATTCAATGAAAATATGTTTAAATGACAGAAAATAAAATCAATTAATTCGTACTTTTATTTGAAAATTTTTACGCATAAATGCGACCACGGATTTATATTAATCCGTGATGCGACATCGCAAAAAATATACCTGTAGATCAATTTCAACAATTAATATCACATACATGTATAAGAAGACTTCATTCGATAAAAACATTTCATTAATATTATTTTTGAAGAAAAAACAACAGCAAACAAACTTAAATAACAACAACACAATCTGCATAATTTATATAATGTCCTCTACTAATGGCAAAACAACTAAATAGTTTAGTAATATCTTGAATCATTATCCAAAATAGCGGTACTCAACCGGTATGCCTAAAATACGAAAGTGAGATTTTTGACGAAAGTGAGCGAAAGTGAGCGAAAGTGACTTTTAAAATTTGAATTGTACCGTTTTAATAGAATTTCACAGTGAATTTTCTGTTTGTGGACGTATATTATTAGCAACTAATAATATTTCTTTTAAAAAATAATCACTAATATAGTCTATGATGATTTACATGCCATTTATTTGCATAATTTCTATACACAAGTTCTGAGATCTTCCTTTCGCTCACTTTGAAAAATACGAAAGTGACTTGTAAATTATTAAATATGGAATTGAAATTTATACTAAAATTGCAGTTTGCAGACGTATATTATCAGAAATCTATAATTATTATTTTAAAAAATAATCATTATGATCTTTAATCACCATTTATTTGACATAATTTCAATATACAAGTTCAGCAATCTTCCTTTCGCTCACATAGAAAATACGAAAGTGACTTCTAAAATATAGTGTTTAATTGAAATATAGTGTTGAATATCAAATTATTTATTTCTGATGTTATATGTTTACAAACTGCAATTTAAGTACGTTTTTCAATTCAAACTCTATATTTGATATTTTACAAGTCACTTTCGTATGTTTCAGTTTAAGCGAAAGGAAGATCGCTGATGTGTATTTATAGAAATTATGCAAAAAAATGGGGTATAAAACTTTAAATCATCATAATGATTAATTTAGAAAACAAATAATAGTAATTTCTTATAATACACGTTTACAAACTGCAGATATAGTACATTTTCAATTTAAACTCTATATTTAATACTTTACAAGTCACTTTCGTATTTTTATATGCAAGTGAAAGGAAGAGTGCTGAACTTGTATATAGAAATTATGCCAATAAATGGCGATTAAATCATGATTATGGTTATTTATTATAATACATATAATAAGTTGCTAATAATATACGTATGCAAACAGCAATTTTACTGTAAAATTCTATTAAAACAGTACAATTCAAATTCTAAAAGTCACTTTCGCTCACTTTCGCTCACTTTCGTCAAAAATCTCACTTTCGTATTTTAGGCAAACCTGTACTCAACCTACCTCTATTAAAACTGAACATATTCTTCATATGTCTTATTAAACAAGAACATCCCAAAAATTGTGCATGTTCTGTGTTATTGCATAAGTCCATAATTATGACAGAAAATAAAGGCTTTGGTGGTTTTTTCGGGTCCAGTGATCCAGATCTAAATATTCCAGGTATAAAGGTTTTATATTTAACTCATACAAATGGGAATGATTCTTACGTTTTTAAGAAAAATCAATTTGTCCTTCGCCATGAATTTCAGAATGGGTGGGGTAATTAGAAAATTTATATGGTTTGGGTAGATATATAATATATTTTGTATATTTAATTAATTTTGTTAAGATTTATATGAAGATGTTACATCCCACAATCATGCATCCTACCACAGGTGTTCGGCGCGTTGATTGGTTACTACTACCCCCCTCCCTTTCCCTGCTTACCCACACAGACTGTGAGACACTTGGGGTGTGGAGCTCAAAACGCCTTTAAAATCCAAATAAAATGTATATTTATAATAAATAGAATATCAAATTTGTATAAGTTCATTACTGAATGTTTTGAACTATTTAAATAAAATAATAATATGCTCCCCGAGACTCGCATAATATAATTTTATTCAACTCTTTCAATAAATTCAGGATTAAACTTACAGTCATTCAATATCCTCTATTTATTATACTCCTGCGCCGGGTTTAATTATCTTTATGTGATAAATTGATTCTTTTCTTATTATGCTGCCCGAAGGGAGAGCATAATTATAAACTGTTATGGACGTCGCATTGTCCGGATTTTCTTCAGGAATATAACTCTGAAACTACCAGAGGTTTCAACAACTTTGTAGGTTAATATATCTCATTGGGTAGTGGGTAGAAGTGCAGTGCGAAAGAACCATAACTCTTTGTTACCTAATTTTGGAGTTATTGCCTTGTTCATTTTAAACTCTGAACCTTTGGGACATAACTGGTATCAAGAAGAAACTTTGTATATAAATATTATATAGTTTATGTATTATTAAATATATTTTGTTAAGAAGAAGTGCAGTGCATAAAAACTGTAACTCTGCCTTGCCTAATATTAGAGTTATTGCCCTTTTCACCTTTACACTGAACTGTCCGGGACATAACTCTGAAACTATAAGAGATATCAACAAGAAGTAGTTTCTCTGTGTCTAAAAGCATTTTCCGGGAGCATAACCCGGTACAATCCGCTCTTGTTTGACAAATTAAAATCATGTTTCTTTGTATTTGTATTTTAGTGAAAGGGACAGCAGCTCTCTCACCTTACATGAACTTAGATCCAAGAATAGTTCAAGTAAGTGTAATATTTACCATATTCATTAACTTTAGAGATTTCATATACTAAAGTTAGAAAAGGCATCAATTTAAAACTAGGACTGATTAATTTCTACATGTATAAATGATATTTAACCTGCCTGAAGATCAAACTGGTCTCAATTACTTAGTCTTCCTGCACAGATGATGTGACTTAGCTAAAAAGTTATTTGTTTACATTAATTTCGAGTAATGCTGGTTCAAATATATGTGTTAAATGTTACATTGTATAAGCATTATTTTCTTAATTTGAAAATAAGTAAATAACTGAAGACATATTGCCAGATTTACTTTTAAGTTTGATTTGGGACAAGGTGAATCATTGTGGACTTTAGAAAACCAGTGTGGTATTGAATTACGGGTAGAATTGAAGGGTTGGTGTTGACTAGCCTACCTTGTAGCAATGATTGCAGCGCATGATTATTGTATACTGTTTCAAACTCTCTCAGTGTTCTAGATAATTATTTTTACTCAAGAGTCAATACTCTCTGTTTTTTATACTTCAGAGTAAACTGCCAGTTTCTAGCCAAATGAAGGAGTAAAATTGACTCTCAGTTTTAAGAACTTGGGAGTCAATTTGCCGCAAATAATGATACATTATATTTTTATACAGTACAGCCTGACAAAAAATCAAAAACTCCTCTCAGTTTTATAATTTATCAGAAATATTGCAGCATGGCAAGGTATTATTTATATTTAGGTTTAAGGCATATTATAAGAACTTGAACCTTTTTATGTGAAATTAACTAAATGTATACATGCAAACAGTTGTGACCCACACTGAATTCTTTTAGCTTGTGGGCTAATATTATCAACCATTTATGTACCAAATTACATGTTGAGATGACTGTTAATTTTAAATTTAAAGGACAGTAAATTATCTTACATATAAATGAAATAAAATAAGGTGTGATGCATAACTTAGTTTCATTGTATTTTTTTCTTTAAAAAATAGGAGCTAGGTACACAATAAAAGGTTGCAATTAATTAATTTTTTACTGTTCAATGTTAGACTTTTGGATGTTGAGAACCCGTTCTGTGGCCCATTTTCCACCCATTTAGTTGTTACAACACAAGGCACATTTCAAATGCACTACATCTGTCGTATCTGACGTTACAGACAGCCACGGGAAACCTTTACTTGTAGCATCTAAATTCTAATGCTGTCGTATGAGTTTTTTTCGCTCTTGCAAACAATAGTCAAATTTTTTTCAAAAATTGACTGAATTACACACTGAGAAGACACTGGGCTTGTTACACGGATTTCGTTGTTTGGGTTTCGAACAAGATATCATCAATGTATACAACTTGATAATTTGATAAAATTGACAATATTTTTTCGTCTACTTCAATAACGTGACAGACGCTTGATTTATCTTATGTACATCTATTACCGAGCGTCTCAGTGATACAAAGTCGACTGGTTTGCAATTATAAACCCAGGCTGAGAAAATAACACACCTTTATAGAACAGTACGCTAACCAGTCAGTCATTTTTATCGGTGTCAATGTAAACATTGCCTACGCCAAATTTGTTTCACTAAATGCGTAAACTGTAATTATCATGCGTAGATATACGCCAAAATGATGACGAAGCTGGCGTATCCCGAGTATTTGCTTGCGTAAATGACGCCGATACGCACGCTATCTCTAATGCTGCTCTCTTTTTGTCTAATAAATTTTTACCCTGAAAAATATATAAAAGTTATTTTATTTTAAATTATACATACATGTAAATGTAACTTTATGTTTCAGGATAATGAAAATTACATTTTATCTGAAGGAGCTGGAGGTCATCAGAGAGGCAAGTTTGAAAAAGCATTCTCTCAGATAGGTGGATGTGTATTTATAGGTGAGTGTTTAAGGAATACCTCGTTTCCACCTTGATTCCTAACATGACTACACAAATTATATGTAAAGCTGTCCTACCCTGGCTTTCAGGTCCCTTGTTCACAGTTGGATTTGGTTGAAAAAAATAATAGTTTTCTTAAACATCACTTCAAGTGATTTATTTTTAGCTCACCTGTCACAAAGTGACAGGGTGAGCTTTTGTGATCGCTTTTCGTCCGGCGTTCGTCCGTCCGTCGTCCGTCCGTAAACTTTTACTTTAAATGACATCTCCTTATAAACCACTAAGCCAATTTCATCCAAACTTCACAGGAATGTTCCTTTGGTGGTCACCTTTAAAAAATTGTTCAAAGAATTTAATTCCATGCAGAACTCTGGTTGCCATGGCAACCGAAAGAAAAAACTTTAAATATCTTCTTTTAAAAAACCATAAGAGCTAGAGCTTAGATATTTGGCATGAAACATCTTCTAGTGAGTGTCTACCAAGTTTGTTCAAATAAAAGCCCTGGGGTCAAAATTGGCCCCGCCCCGGGGGGTCATTGATTTTCCCTATATGCATATAGTAAAAACTTAAAAAATCTTCTTTTAAAGAACCCAAAGAGCTAGAGCTAAGATATTTAGCATGAAACATGTTCTAATGGGTGTCTACCAAGTTTGTTCAAATAAAAGCCCTGGGGTCAAAATTGGCCCCGCCCCGGGGGGTCTTTGATTTTCCCTATATGCATATAGTAAAAACTTAAAAAATCTTCTTTTAAAGAACTCAAATAGCTATGGCTAAGATATTGAGCATCAAACATGTTCTAATAGGTGTCTACCAAGTTTGTTCAAATAAAAGCCTTGGGGTCAAAATTGGCCCCGCCCCAGGGGGTCATTGATTTTCCCTATATGCATATAGTAAAAACTTAAAAAATCTTCTTTTAAAGAACCAAAAGAGTAAGAGTTAAGATATTTAGCATGAAACATTTTCTAGTGAGTGTCTACCAAGTTTGTTCAAATAAAAGCCCAGGGGTCAAAATTTGCCCGCCCCAGGGGGTCTTTGATTTTCCCTATATGCATATAGTAAAAACTTTAAAAAATCTTCTTTTAAAGAACCCAAAGAGCTAGAGCTAAGATATTAAGCATGAAACATCTTCTAATGAGTGTCTACCAAGTTTGTTCAAATAAAAGCCCTGGGGTCAAAATTGGCCCAGCCCCAGGGGGTCATTGATTTTCCCTATATGCATATAGTAAAAACTTAAAAAATCTTCTTTGAAAAAAACCAAATAGCTAGAGTTTAGATATTAAGCATGAAACATCTTCTAGTGAGTGTCTACCAATTTTGTTCAAATAAAAGCCCTTGGGTCAAAATTGGCCCCGCCCCAGGGGGTCATTGATTTTCCCTATATGTATGTAGTAAAAACTTAAAAAATCTTCTTTGAAAAAACCCAAATGCTAGAGTTTAGATATTTAGCATGAAACATTTTCTAGTGAGTGTCTACCAAGTTTGTTCAAATAAAAGCCCAGGGGTCAAAATTTGCCCGCCCCAGGGGGTCTTTGATTTTCCCTATATGCATATAGTAAAAACTTTAAAAAATCTTCTTTTAAAGAACCCAAAGAGCTAGAGCTAAGATATTAAGCATGAAACATCTTCTAATGAGTGTCTACCAAGTTTGTTCAAATAAAAGCCCTGGGGTCAAAATTGGCCCCGCCCCAGGGGGTCATTGATTTTCCCTATATGCATATAGTAAAAACTTAAAAAATCTTCTTTGAAAAAAACCAAATAGCTAGAGTTTAGATATTAAGCATGAAACATCTTCTAGTGAGTGTCTACCAATTTTGTTCAAATAAAAGCCCTTGGGTCAAAATTGGCCCCGCCCCAGGGGGTCATTGATTTTCCCTATATGCATGTAGTAAAAACTTAAAAAATCTTCTTTGAAAAAACACAAATAGCTAGAGTTTAGATATTTAGCATGAAACATGTTCTAATGGGTGTCTACCAAGTTTGTTCAAATAAAAGCCCTGGGGTCAAAACTGACCCGGCCCAGGGGTGTCATTATTTTTAACTATATGTGTATTTTTAAAAAGCCCAATGAGCTAGAGCTTAGATGTTTAGCATGAAACATCTTCTTATGGGTGTCTACCAAGTTTGTGCAAATAAAAGCCCTTGGGTTAAATTGGCCCTGCAACGTTGGGGGGGGGGGGGTGGTTGGGGGCCTATATACAGGTGAGCGACCTCAGGGCCATCATGGCCCTCTTGTTAACTTAAAATATTTGTTCTGTTTAAAATCTGAGGAGTGCGCTGTCATTTGAAATGTTATGTGTATACACATACAAAAAAAAACATTCAGCTGCATGTATGACAATGAAGTAAAATAATATTAAAGTATATTGATTCTGAAATTAAATTCTTAACAAAAATTTTAATGTAGGATGTAGATGACTACACCGTAATTGCTTAATTTCTTAAATGGACATGTCGTCACATTAGTGCAAGAACTGGTTAACTGCTATTTAAATTAGTAGGTCTTAACCCGTTACTGCCCTAAAATGACGATATTTGGTCCCTCAATTTTATTGATAATTTAAGATGAAAATGTAAAAAAGTCTGCCAACAGTATAGAGCTGTTTACCCAGATGTACCGGCTGGTGTGGCTCTGTACTCTGTACTTGTAGTAAAGGCTAATTTATTTTGATTCAAGGTGTTGCTCAGTTAACCTAATTATTATTATATTCCTCATTATTTTATTCAGGTGGGGCACTGGGAGGAGCTAATGGTGTTATCTCAGGTATCAAAACATCGAAGGGGTACCAAGCCTCTGTTAAGAGAACACAGTAAGTGTTTTACATCAATAACTTTAAGCCAAATGGTAATGTTAAAAGATGAATGTAAAATTATGTCTTAATACAATCTGGCTCATACATTATGCCAATACAAGGGTATATAGTGAGTGAACAAAATTTCTGTTAATATCTATCAAAATTTTAATTGTAACATTCAATTTATAAAAAGAGTTGGGTAGTCTTTTTATATTTTAGGCAGATTTATATTTTATCCCAAAAAAATTTCTAATATGAACTTTTGGTCAATTACTATTATCAATGGTAAATCTTTTGAGATATATACAATGTAGTAAAATCGGCTCAGCTTGACAATGAAAAAAACAACGATCATAATGTCAAATTAAGCTAAAAGACCTTGTTAAGAGAAACCTATGTTTAAATTCCTGTCAGCCATGAATTAAGTTTATATAGAAATTGAGATTACAAAATGTGTGTTTATAAATATGCATTCACATTTTCCTGTTCATTTTTTTAGCATGTTAAACGTTATTAGCAAACAAGGAGCATCATCAGCCCAAGCATTTGGAACTGTTGGTAAGTATTATCTCTAATTATTAGTGTACATAAATAACCCGCTGTATGATCAGTTAAAAGCTTAGCCAGCTTTCATTAACTGTTATGTTGCTGGAACTGGAAAGAACCAGTTTAGAGCCAGGCTTGCCTGTGTATCAGTGTATTTTGACCTTGCTGTCTCTCTTTTCCTTTCACAGTCTTTGTGTCCTCTCCAGTTTTTAGTTTGGTTCCTCCTGGGTGCCCTGCTAGTGTGGCTGGGATTTGTAGAGCGGGTTGCAATCTGTCAACATTGCTTTGCCTTATTGATCATTCACTTATACAGGGTTCCCACGGTCAGGGAAAAGTCAGGGAAAATTGATTTTTTTTCAAGGTCAGGGAAAAGTCAGGGAATTTTGAAATTGGTCAGGGAAATATGAAAAATAAGCAAAAGTCAGGGAAAAGTCAGGGAATTTTGTAAGAGAAGAGTGTTGGTCAGACTGTAAAAAGCAAAATCAGTCAAGTTTCTTTTATTATTTTAGGTATTTTTGTGTCGCCTCTACGGTGGAGTAGTGGCGACATATAGGGATCACTTCTCCGTCGTCTGTCTGTCCGTCTGTCCGTCTGTCTGTCTGTCTGTCTGTCTGTCCGTCTGTCCATCCGTCCGTCACAAAACTTGTCCGGACTACTCCTCATAAACTACTGGTACAATTTCATCCAAACTTTACAGGAATGATCAGTACCAAGTCTAGTTGTGCATATTGTCAGGATTTTCCGGTTCAATGATTTTTGTCAGAGTTATGGCCCTTTAATAATTTTTAATTTTAAAGTTTGTCCGGACTACTTCTCTTATACCACTAATGCAATTTCAATGAAACTTTACAGGATTGACCTGTAGCTAAAGTCCTTGCGCATATTGCACGGGTTTTCCGGTTGAATGATTTTTGGCCGAGTTATGGCCCTTTGATAAAAAGGTTTCTTTTTCTGTGTGTTGCCAGATACACAAAAGCTTGTCCGGACTACTCCTCATAAACTACTGGTGCAATTTCATCCAAACTTTACAGGAATGATCAGTACCAAGTCTAGTTGTGCATATTATCAGCATTTTCCGGTTCAATGATTTTTGTTTGAGTTATGGCCCTTTAATAATTTTTATTTTTAAAGTTTGTCCAGACTACTTCTCTTATACCACTTATGCAATTTCAATGAAACTTTACAGGATTGATCTGTAGCTCAAGTCCTTGCGCATATTGCACGGGTTTTCCGGTTGAATGATTTTTGGCCGAGTTATGGCCCTTTGATAAAAAGGTGTTTTTTTCTGTGTGTTGCCAGATACGCAAAAGCTTGTCCGGACTACTCATAAACTACTGGTGCAATTTTATCCAAATTTTACAGGAATGATCAGTACAAAGTGGTTAGTCTAGTTGTGCACTGTCCGTCTGTCTGTCCGTCTGTCACAAAATTTGTCCCAACATGAAATTGGCCATCATGAGGCGACACATGTGATTACTGATCGCTCTTGTTATATTTATTTATCATATTATGAGAATCTTTTTTATTCTTGTAAATATCTTACTCTAAAAATATGCTTATGTCTGAAAATTTGTGAAATCTCTTGTCATTTAAATAACTTTAACTTAATAGTGAAGTAAAAAATCTTCTAGAATGTTAGTCTAAATTTATCAAAACTTGGCATGAGTGTTCCTTTGGTAAAGGGCTTCCAAATTTGTTAAAAGAATTTGATTCTGTGCAAGAATATGGTTGTCATGGCAACAAAAAGAAATTATAAGAAAAAAAAGATTTAAAAAATCTTCTAAAGATCCACAAGGCTCATGGCTTAGATATTTTGCAAAAGGCATCGTCTATTGGACCTCTAACAATCGACCCTTTCTTTGGGTCATTGATTTTCATTTTACACATATAGTAAAAACTTAAAATATCTTACTGTCTGAAGGTACAAGGCTTAGAGCTTTGATATTTGGTATATAATATCATCTATAGGTCCTCTACCAAAGTTGCTCAAATTTTGCCCAAAGCGTCAAAATTGGCCCACTCAAGGGGTCAAAGGTTTTCTTATATGTTTATACATTTAGTAAAAAGCTAAAAAAATTCTTCTCTGAATTGACAAAGGCTATAGGTTAGATATCTAGCATGAACATTTGTGTAATGGACCTATACCAAGATTGTTAAAATTATAGCCAAGGGTTCAAAATTGGCTGATTCATTGATTTTCATTATTTACATATAGTAAAATAAAATAAAAAATCTTCCTTTAAATTTTAACTATCTAAGAAATAGGTAATGCTTAATTGAAAAAAAATAGCATTTAAGAAAAAAAAAAATGTAACTGTATTTCAAAGTTTAAGACAGCAATGTAATACAGTAAACACCTATCAATTATTTCACTATTATGGCCTTTGTATCTTAACATTTAGACACTCTGCACATCTATTTTCATATTTTATGCTGACCCAAAATTCACTAGACACAACTGCATCATGGCAAAGTTCAATTATATAGAACAAAAAAGAATCTATTTCTGTTATATTGATGCATTGACATAACATTTTTTCACAAATGCAATATTTTATATATTGGCCCTTCCCCATACAAAATGCTTGAGAATGAAACATATTTGAGCATGACATATGTTATCAAATACTTTTCATTTTGGATAAATGTACTCCTGCTAATTGAAAGTTAACTACACAAGTAGCTAAAGACAATTGATGCTTATATTCATATATATGTATTCTGTATCTGAAATAATTCAAAATAAAGAATGAGAGGAAAGAGGTTGGCTTATATAGGGAAGAGGAGGCCAGCAATTTATAAAAAAATATGTTCAATGCTCTAAAGATTGTGAAAACTTGACGCTGTTATTGGTCAGGGAAAAAATGGTCTTGGTCAGGGAAAAGTCATGGAAAAGTCAGGGAATTTTGATTTCTCTTCTTTGTGGGAACCCTGTTATACTATTGGCTGACTAAAACTTAAGAAGAGCAGTGGCCTAGTGGTTAAGGTGTCTGCCTCTCAACCCAGAGATCATGGGTTCGAGCCCTACTCGTGTCACGACCATTTTTCTTCAAATGACACCAGAACTGGTTGGTTCCAGGAAGCTGACTTGAAAGTGATTAATATAAGTTGCAAGAATTTGTTTTGCAATCGAGCTTAAATAAATATGTTTAAACCAACTAAAACTTATTATATTGATATGACAAAAAACTGCATAGTACAATTCTGAAAATTGACGCTGGAAAAGTCTAAGAAATTCGGCAGGTTAAGGGTTATGATAATGTCTAACCAGCATACTTAAGTCTGTTGGCTACTTGGTATTTTTATATTGAAAATGTAAATGAACAATAGGTAGGACTTGATTTAAAGAAGAGCAATTCTATTACATAAAATCAGAAGTTTAATTGGTAAATGATAATTAAATAGACCTTGATTTCATTGTATGCTTATATTAATGAATGCTGATTTGAAATACTTTTGAATTTAGATTTTTTTAAAACAAAATAAACATAAATGTATTAGCTAGTGTTTGCTGGGAGGCTGCTTAATGAGTCAGTCTTACTTGAGCTGATAGGTATCTTACTCTCTGCTGGCATTATGCAACTAATTGTATAAGTCAGGACATTGTGTTATGCTCTGTATTCGCAATATAAGCCAATTTTATAAACAGCCCATTTCTAAAAAAACCTATTTCTGACCTGAAAGAAAAGTCTCAGAATCTCAATGTGGCCATACCACGTGACTTTTCGGGTACGGAACACGCCGATTTTTCACCCGATTCAGGTATGTTTTTTATTCACAACTTATTTATTACTCAACCGATTTTGATGAGATAAGGCGCAGAGTACCCGTAATTATATCAGTTATCCACGATATATCAACATTCTGAAAACCCCTGAATGGTTTTTGAGAACATTCGAGTACAGTTTTCTTTTCATAGCCTGGACCGAGGGGAACGGTACACACTCATTTGTCATAACTAGCAATTTCTAGCAAGTCATATGTTTTTTGACACTATTTCATAGAAAAATACACGTTAAATCTGATATATTTACTATGTCCAATGTATCGAGTGAATGCAGTGATGTTTTAGCATATTTTCATAAAGTGATGTTGAAATGGTACGGAACACACTGTTATTTCAAAAGATACGGTACACACACAATTTCTGTCTTTGTAATAATTCTAAAATAAAATATATTAAAATTTAATTTCAATTATAATGTGAGTGATTTTTTTTAGCTCACCTTGCACAAAGTGCAGGTGAGCTTTTAGGATGGCCAACCAAATGGCGTCCGTCGTCTGTCGTCCGTCCACATTTTAAATATTCTAAGGACATCTTCTATGATACCGCAAGGCCAATGTTAATGAAACTTGGCAGGAATACTCTTTGTATGAAGCTCTATCAAGATTGTTCAAAGAATTCCATTTCATGCAGAACTCTGGTTGCCATGGCAACCGAAAGAAAAATCTTTAAATATCTTCTTTTAAAGAACTGTAAGAGCTAGAGCTTAGATATTTGGCATGAAACATCTTCTAATGAGTGTCTACCAAGTTTATTTCAAATAAAAGCCCTAGGGTCAAAATTGGCCCGGCCCAGGGGTCATTGATTTTCCCTATATGCATATATAGTAAAAACTTAAAAAAATCTTCTTTTAAAAGAACCCCAAAGAGCTAGAGCTAAGATATTTGGCATGAAACATCTTCTAGTGAGTGTCTACCAAGTTTGTTCAAATAAAAGCCCTGGGTCAAAATTGGCCCCGGCCCCGGGGGGTCATTGAATTTTCCCTATATGCATATAGTAAAAAACTTAAAAAATCTTCTTTTAAAGAACTTGTAAAAGCTAGAGCTTAGATATTTGGCATGAAACATCTTCTAGTGAATGTCTACCAAGTTTGTTCAAATAAAAGCCCTGGGGTCAAAATTGGCCCCGTCCTAGGGGGTCATTGATTTTCCCTATATGCATATAGTAAAAAACTTAAAAAATCTTCTTTTAAAGCACCCGAAGAGCTAGAGCTAAGATATTTAGCATGAAACATCTTCTAATGAG